CCATAAAGCGTTCTTGAGGGATGGTCATTTGTCAATCCGTAGTGGCAGCAAAGGCGGGCGGCCGACTCTCCCCTGCGGTGGGAGTTGTCACTCACTCATTGGCAAACAGGAATCAAGGCTCCTGGGGCCCCGGGAGCTCTGGGCCTCCGAGGGTCAGCCTCTCTTCCCAGCATCTCCCTGGGGTCCCGGGGCATCCTGGAGAGCCCCTACACTCACGGGGGTGCATAGATGGCCTCCCCCCACCCGCTGCTTGACGAAAGCCAGGGCTCAGGACGCCCGCACCTCCTGCCTTTCCTGAGCTTTGGTGTCCTCACCATCATGGCTGCTGGCAGGGCGGCCCTCTCCCACACACTGGGGTGGGGGGTGGGGGTGACGGCCTGGCCCCACCACAGTCAGCACCGCCAGACAGACATTCTAGAATCTATGGAACCATACCCATTTTGGGAATGAGTCCCAGAAAATAGGATTCTTCATAAAACACTGATTGCATCCAAACCAGTAGACTCCTACCCCCCCAGGGGGCTGTCCCTCACATCCCCTACAAGAGCCCAGGTGGGGGGAGGTGGAGGCCGCCCCGGGTGCACCCCTCAGCCCCTGGGACTCAGGGAGTGGGGCCTCCAAGGCCAAGTTCTGTGACCTGGGGCTCCAGCTGCAGAGGTCGGAGAGAAGAGGGGATGCCCGGCTCAGGCCAGCCTGCAGGGAGCGGGTCCGCCTCAGGAGCTCCCCACAATGCAAGCAATCACTGCAATTTCCCTGGCTTACTCCTCGTTTCGTCTCCACAACAGACACTGTTAGAGCTCTTCCCTGGCCTCAAATACGAGTAATTGCTTCTGGTGCCAGTAAAAGGTATTAATTCCACTTATGCATTCCATAAACTTTTAGGATAACGCAATTGATACCGTGATCATGTTGGGACACCTCCACTATTATTTTCCTGCTTGCAAACCTCCGAGGGGCTGGAAAGTTTTCTCCCAAATCCATTAGTGTTGACTCAGCCACATTCTACCAGGAACCCCGTGTAGAGTCTTTGTGCCTCCCTGCCTGCCTTCCACAGGACCCTCCCCAGCCAGGAGGGTGGCGCTCACCCCACGTGCGCTGGCTCGCCCCCTGGATGGACGGACTGGCACTCGCCCACGGTCATGTGTGGGGCAGCTGGAGGTCATTCAGGGGGCTGTGTCCAGGCTGGCCGGCTGTGTGGAGCGCCCCCCCAATGGACTCGCTGAGCCCTCACGCCTGTGTACACCCTCACTGGCCTAACACACTGCTCGGCTGGGCCAGGGCTCCAGCCATACCAAGCCTCTTGGGTGACCTCAGAGCCCCCTCCCAAACCTACCAAACCCCAAGGACAGTCCCCTTCCCTGGCAAGGCCCAGCCTAGGAGCTGGAGGAGATGGAGCTGGGTTGGACAGCATCCAGATGTCCCTCGCATTGGGCTGCTCCTTGGGACTCCTGGGACCAGCCGGCCGTGTCATTGCCAATCCCTGGGCGGGGGGCCCAGGACAGGAGTGGCCGTCAGGGCCCAGAGGCCAGGCTGGAGCGTGCTGAGCTTGGGGACAGGGACAAAGGCATGAACACTGCCATCCCTGGCCGGGCTCCACCGCCCACCAGGCCAAAGAGCATCAGTGCCCAGGGGGGCCAGCCCCTACCCGCAGCTCTGACCTCACAGCGTGTGTCTCCTCCTGATGCCCCCAGAGCCCCAAAGCCCCTGACACAGGACAAGCTCCGGCCAGGTGACTCAAAAGCAGCCATGTGTGGGGCGCTCCCCAGGCTCCGGGCCCTCACAGTGGTCCCAGGATCCAGTGCACTTGTCCCTGCTGACCCCTCAGGCTACAGCCCACTTTCAGACCACAGCAGCTCTGGGACCTGGACCCTACCAGCCAAACTCCCACCACGTCTGGTCCCTGGTCCCCGGTTTAGAATCTTGGAGGCTGAACACACACCCCTCCTCCGGCTGTTCGGTTACGCCCGACCCATCGGTCCTGGCCTCCTGTGGGGGAGGAGGCGTTGTCACACCCTGGGTAGCGACCAGAAGAGGCCTGCACACGTGCACACGTGTCTGTGTGCATGTATGCATGTAGCACGTGCACACCTTTACGTGTGTGCGAGGTGCCTTGTGTGTGTATGTCCGTGTGCGCGCACACGCCTGTGAGCGGAGGGCTCCCCTCTGTGCCCACGGAGCGCACATGTGAGATCTGGGGGCAGGGGGACCACCTGGGGCTGGGGGCACTCGCCGGGGGACTCGGCCAGGCAGAGGCCAAAGACCCCATTAACAGCTGTGATCCCGTGGGGACTGGTGAGGGTGTTTTTCCCGAACGAGGAGAGGAGTGAAGGCAACAGTCAATTTGGAATTGTACTTGAGAAAAATATGAATTATCTATCAGTTACCAGCCGGCTGGCATGGCGGGGGCCATGCATGGCGTGGTGCAGAGGCCCAGACAGCACGCCCGGGAAGCAAGTCTGGGCAGAGCCCGCACAGCCGGACCCCCAGAGCTGTGAGCAGGCGGGCTGCCCGCAGTCCCCACCCTGCACCATGAGCCCGCCCGCCCGCCCCCTCCCCGGGCAGGGAAAGGAGCCTGCGGGGGTCTGCTCCCAGAGAGCCAAGGTGCCAAAAATCTCATTTTCAATGTCTGTCCCACCTGTACCCCCTGCACTGACGGGGGCTGGGGAGGGGAACCGGGCGGGCCAGCAGCAACCCCCCCCCCCCCCCCCGCGCAGCTGCAAGAGAGGAGAGGGCCCAGGCGGGGGGGGGGGTGCGGTGAGGGGTGGTAGGAGCCACTGAGCACAGGTGAGCCTTCCCCTGCCCGTCCCCCCCTCCCCACCCTGTATGGCTGGCCAAGACAGACCACTCCATGGGGCCACGTGGGGCCAGACAACTGTGACCCGCCATGGGCCCTGTAGACCTGACGCTGCACCTCTGACCGGAAAGGTGGAAGCAATGGGGGGGGCAGTTGGCAGAGGCCCCAGGCGGGCAGTGGGGGGACAGTCAGCAGGGGGGCAGCTTCTGTCTCTGAGGACCAGCTCAGACCATCTAAGCCACTCCAAGTCCCCCAAGACACTGCAGAGACCCCACCAGCATCCTCAAACAGCAGAGAGAAAGAGAGCCAGGACCCCCCTCCAAGGCTTGTCAGGATTCCTAGGGGTCTGGCAGCTCAGGCCTTGGTGACAGTATTGGTGTTGGTGCTAGAGGGGTTGGGACCTTCCCCTGAAAGGCCAGAGAAAGGGCTTAGGGAACAGTATGAACATGGAAGAGGAGAAAGAGTGAGCCTCCTGTCGCCAGAGGTATGCAAGGGTGGGATATCTCAGGCGCCTCCTGACCTGGCTCACAGTCACACAGCCAAACCTCAAATCTGGAGTCGGGGGACCAGGACCCCACAGGAAATAAGAGAATCCTGCAGCAGGTACAGCTGCTGCCCAACAACCTCACCCAGGAGGACCAGCTCTAGGGCACCCCATCCCCAGCCTTACTGCTAAGGAAATACTAATGTGACACACCGCTCCTACTGCGCTGGCCCGTGCTGTATGGACAACATCCCCTCTAAGGAACAACAAGGAACATTGCAGGAAACCTTCACGAGTGAGGACGAGGGCAGCCAGCGATGGGTCAGCGGCTGGGGACCCACAGCCAGAGCGAGAACCAGAGACAGCCGCAGGGGCACCGCGCCTTGGATCCCAGACCCGGACCAGCCCCTGCAGAGAGCCAGACCGTCTCCCTGTGGATCCGTACCCCCTCCGGCCCCCCCAGGAGCATGGGAAAACCACAACCTGGCCAGGGGGCAGTGGGGATCTTGAGACCTCATTCTTAAAGCGGCAGAGCCTCAGGGTCACCTGCTTGGTGCTCGGCCACCCTGCGTGGACTTCTCTGTTTCCAGGGGCTGGGGGAAACCACGGAACTGCTGTTCCCTGGAGGGGGTGACCCTGCCCCAGGGCCAGGACCCGCTAGGCATCCCCAGGGCAGGTGCCAGGCAAGGCTCACTGTCCTCTTCTTGCGTGCAGGCAGGAGACCTGGAGTGCCCCTGGGGCTGCCTTTCCTGCAATGCCCTGCGTGCCCTACCCTCAGGGGGAAGCCTGTGGTCTGTCCCTGGGTCGCAGCGCCCCTGCAGAGCCCCTGACCCTGCGGGCATGTCCGGCAGCCCTGTCCTCTCCTGGCTGCACCGCGGTTAGGAAGCTAGAGCCCCCAGACCCGGAAGCCCGGCCGCGGGGTCCCAGTGAGCACTTACTGCCTGCGTCACTCTGAGTGAGCTGCTTCCCCTCCCCTCCGCTGCCTGTGGCCTGGGCTGTAAAATGGGACAGTCACAGATTCTACCTTGGGGGTCGCTGGGCTGTCTCAAGAGTCAGCGTAAACTCAGAGCACCCCGGGGAGGCCACGGGTGCGCGGCCGTCATCCAAATCGGCGAAACCCCCACCAGGGGCCAGAATGCTGCGGAGCGCAGGGCGAGCACAGGGCGGGCGCAGGGGGCGAGGTGAGACCTGAGTCTGCAGCGCTGTGGACCCCCCACCCATGACTTCCCGGTCTCACACCCATGCTTGTAGATGACAGCCCAGAGTCCGGGCAGGCAAAGCTCCAGCCCGCCAACCGCCAGACTCCAGACCCCCCAGCCAATGGCACTACCTGGAGGAGGCAGCCCAGCGAGCCGCGTGTCCCGCTCACCCAGGACAGGATTCAAGCCCCACCTTGGGGCAGGGACGCCGGTGGTCTGCCTCCGCCCCGTGGACCCGTGGACCTTGCTGCGGAGCCTTGTCTGCCCCTCTGGGGCCCCGCGGAGGCCAGCCGCTCTGGCCGCACGTCCGAGGGGTAGGCACGCCCAGACTGCCCAGCCCCAGACCCGCCTCCTGCCCGATGCTCCTCCCGCAGCAGTGGGCCAGGCGGGAACCCTGTGCGGACACCTGGCCGGCCCTCCCTCCCTCACTGCCGGCCGGCCCGGGGCGGGGGGTGGGGGGCGGCGATTGCCACTTCCCACCCCACACCCCGCAGATGCCCCTGGGAGCAGGGGCGCAACTCACCGTCCAGGTGGCGGACTTGGCCGTGCTGGACTGCTGGAAGGTGACGTCGAAGTGGTGGGGGCCAGGGTAGTCGGTGTTGGAGGGGATGGCTGGTGCCGGCGACATGGTGTCGAAGGTGGAGCTGGGCTGCGCGTAGGGCGAGTGGGTGGGCACGCTGGTGGCGTGCTCCGGGGTGTAGGGGCTAGCCGAGGCCGCGCGGCTGCTCATCTGGTCCATGGTGCTGCTCAGCAGATTGAACTGGGACTAGCGTGGAAAGGGGGAGGGAGGGGGACACACAGTCAGGCTGGAGAGTGGAAGCGCGAGGCCAGAGGTGTCCTGTTACAGGAGCCTTAAAGGGCCAGCAGCTCAGTCATCCCAAATATTTCCCGCCCCCCCCCACCCGACAGGTCACTACTTGCGTTGGATAAACTGACATATTCACCTCGCCCTCCCCTCTCCATCAGCCTCCCGTGCCAGGGTTTCCGGGGTTCCAGGGAGCGCACCTGGAGGGGAGCTGCTGGGGGAGGGGGAGGCTCCCTGCCGCTGGACCTCCTGGCAGGCTCGCAGGAGGGGCTCGGGCTCTGGGGCAGGGTCCCCATCCCCAGTCCTCCAGCACAGCCCAAAGTAGGGAGATCCCGGGCCCAGGGAGCCAGACAGGGGCAGGGGGTGGCCCCAGTGTGGGGGGCCCACGGTCCCCTCCTGCTGTGGGCCACAGCCTCTGCCCTAACCCAGCCCTAGGAGCCCAGCCCCTCCCCCCCCGGGGCCACACCCTGAAGGAACAGGGACTCCGAGCTGCGAGCTGCATGGTGTGGGTGCATCCCCAGGCCACCCTGTTGGGGTCAGCCCCTGCCTGGAGCTTAAGGAGGCCCTAGCAAAGGAGGGAGGACACAGACCAGATCCCTCCTGGAGGGCCGGCCAGGAAGACCCCTTTCCCATGAGATTTATTTTAATCTTCTCTTTGGGCCTGAAGCAGACACTGCTATTATCCCGTTTTACAGATGAGGACACTGAGGCATGTAGGGGAATGACTTGCCTGAGGTGAGGTGGTGGCTCTGACAAAGTGGGGGCACCAGCCACCCTCAAGGCAGTCACCCTGAGAGCCCCGGGTACAGGAGGGGACAGTGAACCGGGGGCAAAGGGCCCAGGGTCCCCAAGGGGGGCAGAGGCAGACCAGCAGCCAGAGGGGATGGGGGGGCTTGCCCTGCAGCCCCCTCAGCAGCCTGCCTCCTCCAAACTGCAAAGCACAGGAGTGCATCCCTCAGGCTGGGAGGCAACTGGCTGCTCAGCGCTGGGTCGTCTCCTCCGTCAGGAGGCTGGTGCTCCTCACCCACGGCCCCCCCCAGCTCGGCATCCCCCTGGAAGGCACACGTCCCCCCTCCAGCTCAGCATCCCCCTGGAAGGCAAACATCCCCCCCCAACCCCCAGGCTGCCTGCTCGGGACAAGGTTTCCTTGGAGCCTCAGCACAAGTGATGCCCCAGGGAGGGAGGTGACAGGTGACAGATTCTTACTGAAGCCCTGGCTTCCTGCCTCCTGGAGCCCAGGCCATTGCTTTCCTCGGATGCGTCAGCCCCCCGGGGATGGCCTGGCTGAAGCTGCCATTGGAGGGGCCCCTCGGTGGTCATAAACGTGTGGCTGGGGCCTTGTCCACCACCAGCGGGACAGGAAACCCCCCTGCAGGGCACCGCTGAGAACTTCTTCGCTGGTCTGGCTCCGCACCACCTTCCTAACTTCCTGTGGCTTCACCTGTCCCCTGGGGAGGCCCTAGCACCCACCGACCATGACGGGCAAGTGGACAAACTCTGGGTCCATGGGTGGAAACAGTGCTGACCCCCCATTAAGGAGCAATGAAACAGCCAAGGGGACCACAACCTTGCTCAGAGAACAAAGCCAGCTGCAGAAGTGTACCTGCTGTGGGGACCTGCTGCAGGGCCCAGGGGCTGGGTGGGGCTGGGGCCGCAGCTAAGGGGAGCCTGGCTTCCTTTGGATGTGATGAAGGTGCTCTAAGATTCACGGTGCTGATGGGAGCACAGAGCCGTGGATATGGTCAAAACCACTGAAATGCACACTTTGGATAGGTGAGTTGTGTGTTATGCAAAACATGGCTCAATAAAGCTATTTAAAACAAAATGACAGAGGGGCAAGAGAAACCAGCCTTGCACTCCACATGGCTGGGATGGGGGACCCCCGCGCACTCTTGCATCCCGAGGGCTCTTCCCTACACCCCCCCTCCGTCTCTGGACCGACAGGACTGCTGTCACATGATCCCAAGCGTGGGACCGTCCAATACACAGCCACCGGCCACATGGGTACACGGAGCCGCGGCAAGTGAGGTGGTGCTGGGGGGCGCACGGCACCCTGACTCCACACACCCGGTGCCACGAGAAAAACATAAAAATGAAGGTTCTCATTCTGTTTCATGCTGAACACGCACCAAAATGTGCATCATTTCCGATAAGAAGGGTAAATTATTAATGACGTTATTTCCACGGGTTTCTTTTTACTGTTTTTCTATGTGGCTACTGGAAAATGCAAAATCACACCTGTGGCTCATGCCGCGTTTCTGCTGGATGGACCCCGAGCGTCCGGCCCCCAGGCTCTCAGGCATCATCCCAGCTCCCAGCCTCACTGTCATCAGCAAGGCTGCTGGCGCACCTCCTGGGGGGGCTGAGGACTCTCATTCCAGGATCCTCACTGGGTGGTGGCCCAGCAGACGAAGGGAGGAAGGAAGGAAGGAAGGAAGGAAAGGAGGGAGGGTGCGCCAGGCAGCAGGATGGCTTCCCCCGTGCAGAAGCCCAGGAACGTGCAGAAGCCCGGGAACGTGGACGGGGCATGAACCCGGTCCTCCCACTCAACCAGGCTGAGAGCCCCATGGGTCCTGGGGTGGGGAGGGCGGGGGTGCCTGCCTGCTCCCCACCGAGAGTCGAGTCCCCATGACCTCTGTCTTCCAGGGACAAGCCACGGCCCCACGGAGTGAGCGGCTTCCCTGGGCTACCCAGGGGCTGTAGGAGGCTTCCCTCCTCCGGGGCTCAGTGAGGACAGCCCCACCGGGCTCAGGTCTGTCCTCCCCGCTCCAACCCCAACAGGACAGCCCAGGCCAGCAGGGCAAAGGGCCCCCCCTACTCAGGAGAAATGAGAGGCAGGCCCACGACAACAACGTTGTTCAGATTTTAACTTGTCCACATTCTTTACCGATCTGAGGCGGGTGCCAGGAAATTAGTCACTGAACCAAAAGAGCCGGGCTGATAGCATCTCTGCGCCCGGCAGTCACAGGGCAGGAGGGAGCGGGAGGCTTCCAGCAGGCAGGTCCCTGGGGAGATGTGAAGGAAGTGCTCGGCACACACAAACACCCGAACACGGGTGCCCACAGAGCGAGCCAGCGGGCCCGCAGGGAGCACACCCTCCCTCCGGCCTCTGGCCCCAGGGCACTTTGCGGTCCAGGAGTCTTGGGAGCTCCCCTCTCCCCAGGGGAGCGGAGCACAGGGCCCCGTGTTGGACAGCCGTCCCTGCGAGTCCTTCTCAGGGTCCTGCACCCCCAGGAGCTCCTGGTCCATGCTGGGCCGCAGCTTCTGCATGTGGCTCCCCAAAGGCCCCTCCTTCCCTCCCTTAGCATTCCTTCCCAGTCGGGATGGGGAGCGCTGCGGGGGGCCAGCCCCCACCCCCATTTTGATCTCTCTGCCCAAACTGGTCCAACACAGTCACACAGAAGCCTGGGGTAGAGCTCCTCCAGACCAGAGGCCCCTGGAAGCTGGGGTGAGACCCACTTGGCAGCGGGAGGAACCTGGGCAAAACCAAGACTCTTTTGGTTTGTTTTGCTTTCAATCAGAACTCCCAAGAGAGTGGGCTAATTAGGACATGCCCGGCCCCAGGCGGCCCACATGTGCCTACATGTGCGTGCAGAGCTCCTGGGCCCAACCCAAGGAGGGCTGCGAGCAAGCGGGCCGGGCGGGAGCGAAGGAGCCGGCGGGTGACCTCCCCTCTAGGTCCCGGGCAGAGGATGAGCCCGGCCTGCCTCAGAGGCCGGAGGCCGTTCCTGGCTCTGGGTCGGTGGCCGATGGCCTGGGAGCTCCCTCCACCAAGACGAGACAGGCTCCCCAAGGCACTCTCTGTCCATTTGTTCCACAAACATGTTTTCTGCTGCTCTCTGCCAACTTGGAGGGGACACTGGGTGGGGGCAGAGAGGGTCAACCTGCCCTCAGGACACAGGCAGGGTGTCCAGCCTCCACAGGGAGCCAGGCTTGCTCCCAGGGTCAGCACCTCTCGAACCAGGACCCCAGGGGCACCCATTTCTGCTCAGGAAAGGGCACGCGTAGGTCTGGGGGCCACATGCACACATGTGCTCGCACAGCAGGGCTCAAAACACACGCAGGGATGGGGCAAGAGGCTTAGACCTCAGGCTGCAGAGGGAGAAGGCCACCTGATGGGATGAGGGTGAGCGGAGGCCCCGCCCCTGGGTGGATGACCTGGACTGTGTCTGAGCACCTGACCTCCTCCGGGAAAGGAGCTGGACTGTCAGGGCTTGGAGTCCCAGGGAAGGAGTGTGCTGCCCGATGACCAGTAGGGGAAGGACGAAGCGAACCACCCTGGGGTGGAGTGGTCCCAGCTTCCAGCCCACCCCACCTCGTCACCACCTCTCCAGCCTGGGGCCCTCCCCTCCTCTGCAGATCCACTGGGGGCCTTCCCAGCCCAGGCAGCTGCAGAGACCAGCACTCGGCTGGGGACAGTGAGCTGGGGAGACCTGCCTGCGTGCATGCCTGGGGGACACTCTGGTCCGGCTCAGCTTTCAACCCCATCCCCAGACCTCGCTGCTTTGATCCATCCTGTGCCCAGGGGGTGGGGGTTCAGAGGCCCCAGCTCCCCAGCCACACCTTGCACCGCCCGCAAGGCAGCAGAGAGTCCAGCCTGCCCACTGGTCCTCCTGCCCAGCAACCTGAGCTCAGCCCAGCCCCGCAGCCCCTGCCCCACAAGCTCCCAGCACCCTTTGCTGGCCAAGCCAGTGTTGGGGGTCCCTGCAGCTGATCAGGAGATGGTGACTGGGTTGGCTATCCCAGAACAATGGGCTTTCCTGGCCAACCCACTGCCCACCTACAGGCCTCTCTGTGTGTCCAGGTCTGGGATGAGTACCACCCACGAGGACCATGTCCTGGGGCAAAAAGAGAGGAACAGAAGGGACTTCCCAGGCCCAGCAGGGCAGAGCAGGCCTCCGAGGTCAGGAGACCTAGAGGCCGAGGTCCCAGCCCCACCTGTGTTACCCAGCCGGGCAATC